TTCTGCGTGGAGCACTGGGTGTTATGCACAAGCAATGAATCATGGAACACTACATCAAAAACTAATGATGTAATGTATGGTGATTAACATAACAATAAAAAATTATTTAAAAAATTTATTATTTTTTTTTAATTGAAGTATAGTTGACATACGATGTTGCATTAGTTTCAGGTGCAAGATTCTTTTTCTTCTACATTGGTGTATCATACTTTTTATAGGGAGATGCTGTAAGAAAAGCTAGGCCTTAAATAGGAGAGATGTGCCAGGTTCATGGATAAGAAGATTCAATATTATAAAGAGGAAATTCTCACCAAATACAATGCAATTCCAATAAAAATAATAATTTATATATTCAACTACATCAATTAATATTTTTTTAAAAATTTTTACACACACACAAAAAGCACACATAAAAACACAAAATAATACATGTACAAAGTATTTTTGGCAGAGGAGGAGTATCAAACATTATGAAAAAAAAGAGACTAAGAGACTAAGAGACTTAGCAGACTTATGAGGCCAAAAAAGACTAACCACATGTGGACCCTGTTTGGATCCTGATTCTAAGAAGCCAATTATAAAAAGACATTTCTAAGACAACTGGGAAAAGTTGAAGGTTAAAGAATTATTAACTTTGTTACACACGATAATAGCATGATGTATTTCTTTTTAAACTCTCTTATCAAATCAGTCATGCATCCTGAAGTATTTATGGGAAAAATGACATGATGCCTGTGACCTCGGGAGGACAAGAAATGGACAAAATACGATTGGCAAAATGTTGGTAATTCTTGAAGTTGAGTGATGGGTATGCAGGGGTTAGTTATACTATTCTCTTCATTCTTGTTATGTTAAAAATTCCCATAACAAAAAAGTTTTAAAATGATGGAAGTAAACGTTTTTATTTGCCAAGCCACAAGTGGGGAGAAAATGTGTAATGTGTATAAGTGAGAATTGCATAATTAGTACGAGAATATATGAAGAACTCCAGTGAAATCAATAAGTTAAAAGACAAACAACTGAATATAAAAATGGATAAAACCTAATAAAATATAATCCACAGAAAATAAACATTAGCGACCAATAAACATAAGATGCTCAATTGTACTGAGAGACTATTTTACATCAACTGGCAAAGATTGAAAAGTCTGTTAATAACAAGTATTGGAACTCTTAGACACTGTTGATGGAAACAAAAATTACTACAACAATTTTAAAAATAATCTGGCATTTTCTTGAAAGCCACAGATGTGTTTAGCCAGTGATTCACAAATGCTATTTCGAGGTAAATGGCCTAATAAACTCTTGGACATGGGCACCGGAAGGATTGTAGGATCATATGCACAGCAGCCATATGTCCATCAAGAGTAGAGTGAATCGGGGCACCTGGGTGGCTCAGTCATTAAGCGTCTGCCTTCGGCTCAGGTCATGGCCCCAGGGTCCTGGGATCGAGCCCCGCATCAGGCTCCCTGCTC